TCACCCCTTCCGTACGTACAAGCCGCCCAATGGGAGAACAGTGGGGCTCGCTATGTTCCCATCGTTTGCAGTGCGCCCAGCATAATTTCACAAAATCGAATCGGTGCCGCTCCCACACTTTCACATGGCCGATCATCTTCAACAATTTTTGAATAACCTAACAAAAGTATCAAGAATCTTAGCTGGGTTTTTGAGAAATAATTTTTACTGCAAGTCAATGTTTACAACTGAGACGAGGAAGGAAAATCCCTTTCTGAATAGGAGAAGATAGATCGATGTTGCAGCTCCAAATAGCCCAACCTGTTCAAGTTCGCACGCCGAGGACACTTTCATTAGGATGAAATCCATCGGGCGAGTAAAGCTCATGAAAACGAAGTGACTAATTTTCTTATCCCGCCATCACTATAGAGAGAAGACCTCTAGTGGGTGAGTAATCCAAACTGCATGTAGCACCTCGGCATTGAAAACGAATAGACACAGAAAGAATTCAACGAGACAACCTATAGCCGTCGGCTGATTTGAGGCCAGCTACTTCCGGATACTTCAGACGCCTGTTGTTGAGTGATTACTCTTGATCACCATTCACAAGCGCCAAACGTCCACAGTCCCTCTGGTCAAAACTGTACACTAAACAACAAGGTTTGGTCAGCCAAGTTCATTTTATACTCTTTCCAATGGGAAGGAGTAACTCTATACTCTTTCCAATGGGAAGGAGTAACTCTGTTGATCACCATTCACAAGCGCCAAACGTCCACAGTCCCTCTGGTCAAAACTGTACACTAAACAACAAGGTTTGGTCAGCCAAGTTCATTTTATACTCTTTCCAATGGGAAGGAGTAACTCTGCCTTTTACATGGGTGCCCCGGATAGACTCAAGGAAATAAGTCATATCGAAGAGAAACCGAAAAACGCTGCTGAGATGCAGATGCTGGGCCAGGATCCTGAATGAAATGACCATACGCTCATTGCATCATCGAAACCAGTCAATGACGGAATACAAGTGTGACCGTATAACTGACAAGCATCCAGCCAGCCTGGGATGAAATCCAGTGGGCATGCCGACTATGGACCGCGTGACATCGATGTTATTCGCCATTTAACGGAACCATTTAAACTGATGGCTCCCGCACCATACTGCAAATCGTTCGTGAAGAAATTATTGTTGTTGTCAATGCCAACAATAATTCCAAAATCGTAGCCGATATGAGACCAGCATCTAGTAGATAATTGGTACACAGACGAGCCATCGAGCCTCTCATATCGTCGTCTACATGATGATCGCCACACATGATCTGACAGCGACTGTTTCGAGGCAGCGATGTTTCCAAAAAATGCCAATCATATTCCTCCCAGCATTCATGCCGATAGAAGTGGATGTCGAAGCTAGACACGATAATAATAGGTGGCACGAATGCCCTCTCCTATTTGAGGCTGCACCGCGCAACCCATTAGACCAGTAACAATGAAGTAGAATGAGCAGCTCTCCTCCAATCCGTACATTCGGATGGTGTTTATGCGGCTGCATGCGTAATCAGTTAACGTTGGCAGGATCAGCATTATCAGA